CTCGTTGCTTTGCATCATCATGATCTTGCGTGTGCGTAGGAATTTTTTTGAAATTACTACGTTCCCCAACACTTAATACACTAGATGCATGCTGGATAGCGGTCGATGTGTGGAGTAATAGTAGTAAATGCAGGCAGGAGTCGGTCTACTCATCTTGGACGTGATGCCTGTGTATTGATCATTGTCTGGATATCATCATAACTATTCGATTTTCTATCAATTGCCCAACAATAATTTGTTTACCCACCGTGTGCTATTTCTCGAGAGAAGCCACTTGTGAAATCTACGGCCCCCGGGTCTATTCTTTATCATATTTGCTTTGATATCTATTTTTATTTGCTTTTATTTCCAGATCTATTATTCTAAAAACCCAAAAATACTTTGTTGCACATTTTATTTGCATCTTTTATTCCGCGTTTTATCGAGATCTATTTATCCAATCTACACAAATTTTATCCAGGCAACTTGACAATTTCTGGCGCCGTTACATGAAAGAGGGATTGACAACCCCTCATACGCGTCGGGTTGCAAGTATTTATTCTTTGTGTGCAGGTATCATTTACATGGTGTTTCTTGGTTCTCCTACTGGATTGATACCTTCGTTTCATAATCGAGGGAAATACCTACCGTAGCTGTGCTGCATCATCCCTTCCTCTTTGGGGAAATACATACGTTGTTCAAGCGACATCACTGAGGCCGACAAAAATGTAATTGAGGCTAAGAAGAAAGTAGCTGAGGCCGCAGAAGCGGACAAAAAAGAGTTGGTCCAGTAGGCAGTCGATGCAACTTTAGTTGCCTGCAGAAATGATTTTGTAGATTTGGTTAATAGCTTGATTCGGGCTGTTATAGAATGGACGAAGCAAAATCCACACAAGACGGCACAGGATTATCCCATGCCCAGCTTCATCAGGAGCAACTGTGTGAACATCCCACCATCACCTGCTCTTGCAACCGCACTTGCTCTTGCACCCGCGCCTGCGCCCCGAGCCGCTCAAAGCAGCCCGTCCTCTGTCTCTGGCGTGCTAGGTGGGCCTTTGACCATGGCTGACCTCGACGCCCTCATGGTAATTACACGTCGCACCAAAATATCTATAATCATTCGTTTTCGTTGTCTTTCGGATGTCTTATGCCATAGACATGTCTTCGCAGGCTGACGAAACCCCGTGCACCGTACTCTACATGATCAACAGCCAGAAGGTAGACGTGGGAAAGGCAGTGATAACGAAGCCCTTGGAACGCACATTCTACGGCTAGCCGATGATCATTGGCACCTTCAGGGTTAACTTGCCGAGTGTCAAAGCGGGCCACGAGGATTTTGCTCATGCAGTATGGCTCAAGGGAGAGGACGACGAGACCCCAATGCGGCTTGGAGAATGCAAGGGTTGTATGCTTAAGTAAATATGGAACTGACTCAACATAAAATTAAAGAATAAGCCCTTTATAGAGGGTAGAAGAGATTTCCATGCACTTAAGTAATTTTGAAAAGTTAGTTCAACTTTTTTAAACCATGATTTTGTGTTAATATTAACATTCTTGATGTGATCTAGTTCGCATCTGCCATCCATTGCCCCATGATGGACGAACTATTTCAACTTAGTGGCTTCCGATTTTCTTCTTGTTTGACTCAATCTTGAGGAGGCGGAACTTTGGTCAAGTATTGTTAGTTTATACTTTATACATTGGCGTTCCTATGCACTGACCAATTATCTTGGAGACAGAATGTCTTCTTGTGCACAATTTTGAATGTCTTCTTGTGCACAATTTTGTTTTCGATGATGGTCTAGACATGTCTGCCTTGGTTGATTTGACGACTGAGGCGCGTGGAATTATGCCTTGTCGCAAAAGAACCCTAGGTAGTGCATGTGAGGAGACACGCTAATAGTGGCTCGTGGGTCAAGATGGCAATGGGGAAGAAACCCACCGTGTTTTTCTTGCCTATCCCCATCCCTACGAGAAAATCGCAAGCCCGTCCCCATCCCCATGCACGGGTCCTATTTTTTGGCCACCCCCTAAACCCGTCGGGTTTTTTGTACCCATGGGGAACCTGTCCCCATGAGCGGTCAGGAAAAACAACAGCTTTTCTCTAGAAAATAGGTGTATGTCTATTATATTATATACTTATTAATACAGATGTCAAATGAGATATCACATTCTTCCACATAAGCCAAAATAATATACATTGTTGATTAGTAATACTTACGGCCGAGATTTAAAGATATTACGTTACATGCCTAGATTTATAAAGATACGTATATTGAACCGACACGTATCAGGTGTGTGAAAAAAGATGGAAAAGAATAAAGGAGTCCTGATGGAAAACAACTTTGGTCCGATTGGAAATAGGTGCAGTCTGCTCTCAGTCAAGATGCTATCCAAAGCGCTGGTAAAAAAAAAAGGAGCTATGCCAAGAGGACACGCCCAGCGTTGCCACAATGACATCATTAACGATGTTAGCAAGTAAATCTATTCTCGGGCGTTTGTCTTCTTATCTATTCTTTGCTTCAGATTTTTTTTCCTGGAATATTTCACGAGGGAAAGTTCAGTAACTGCTCCCGGCATGCAACAATGTTTTCATCATGGGATCGTTTACACGGTGCAGCACATTGGCACATGGCCAGGCGCAGCATGCATGGTGGGTGTGGCAACATGATGACCTGGATAATCACTGAGTGTCATGCGGACAGCGGTCACATGGTAGTGCAGTCTTTTTTATTTTGCTTAATAATATTTGCATATTATTCATATTATAAAAAAAGTGAAGAAACAAGAATAGATGAGGCCATTAGATTAATATATATAATATTAAACATTCAGACATAATAAAAAAGAAAAAACTAATATGAGAACAGAAAATATAAATCAAATCGTGCACTTACGTATAGCTCTATGGCTTTAAGGTAAGCCGTGCCTATTGATGCTACGACCTTTAGAAGCGCATTTTATGCATATGCTAATTAAAGATTTACAGTCTTGATACATATATATTAAGGGCTATATGCAGCACACACATATATAAATTAGATAGTAAAGAAAAAATACATTGTGAATAGCTTATCGGGGAGACTTCTATACGTATGTGTGTGTGTTTTACTGTGCATAATTTCATGAAGAAACGACATTAGTAGTGCTCCACGTTGGAAACACAAAATCAGTGTCCTAAGAGGCTTCCTATTTTAAAAATAACTTGAGCTACTGCTTCAAGAGAGAAAATCCAGCTGGGTGTAATTGAGCTCGAGCTCAAGCTTGAATATCCAAGTTTTAATAACCTAATGATCATGATCAGTTCAAGTGTAGTTACGGATGATTTATTAGTTTGATCTCAAAATAGGACCGGTCTCAACAATTGTATGTGTAATTAAGTTCTTATTTTTTAGATGCATTTATCTACTACGGATTGACATCACATATAGAATGACATATTGCAATGGTGTGTTCTTACTATCATGTAAATCATGACAAAAGATTAAACAAATCATGTTCTTTGCGATAAATTTGGTCTCAAACTTAATTATTAGATGAATGTCTAATCAAGAATATGAAGTACCTGCAATATTCCAGTAGTTGACATAGATGATGTATGCAAAATAGACATAGATAAACACTGCAAAAATAGGTCATTGGTATGAAACAATGGTAACTATACAACATGTACCCACCCGGCTAGGCAATATTCCAGTCGCTCAAAGTGTAATTGGTATAGGGCATCGCATGGGAAAGTAAAAATTATATCCCATGCACCCTAGACCAACAGATTATATTGTTGGTGATAGGTATTGGTGTCTTGGTGTCTACAGAAATTAAAACAGAATAATTTTTTGCTGTTTAACATTTCTCTGACCCCTAAGATATAACTACTATACCACTTCAACTCACACATAATCCATCAATCAAAATTTTCAACTCTTCAGCCAATGACAACAAACGACACATATCATAAACTAGCCGTGCAAATGGGCGGGTAACTCTGCTCGAAAAAAAGATGTCTAAACACTACCTACACAATCTGCTCCAACTGTGACATCCTGCTGCCAACACCAAAAATTGTTCCTAGACTTACCAAAGTTATGTTAGGATACTATAACTTTGTCTGAAGTTAGAGTTGAAATGATTGATAGAGCCCCTGTTTCTACCATGCGGATCACCTTCTATTCAACAATTGATTTCTCTGTTTTTTCGAAGCTCGATGACCCGTGCGCCAATTCAATTTATCAGCGTCTCATAAAGCACTTCCTCATTCATCTTTCTATATCTGGACCAACTTAACGAAGTGGCGCGACTTCCACTGGACCCGCCATGCGTATGAATTCGTTGCCAAGGGTACCACAATCGGACACCTAGGTAATAATAGAACATATGAAGTGACACAAGAAGAAATCTTTCCCCGATGCTAAGATTTATTTTTGCACACAGTTTCCTGTGTACATATAGCAAATTTGAATTATGAAGTTTTAGTATGAAATTAGTATCTTACTCTATTATAACAAAGGGAAGATTACACGGTGGAAATACGACAATAAAAGGATCAATAACTCCCTGAAACTACATTAAAATATGACAGCTGAAAGGAAGCCGACCCAAAGCTTGTTCAACATAGAAGACACAAAATTAAATGAATAACGAAAGTAGAAAATGACACACAATGGTTAATATCAAAGCTCTTGGTTTGAAGGAATAGATTCAAATGCACAATAATCTGAAGGATTCATCTCTCTGTCTCAAACATTTGAAATATAAAACAGTCCGACGCACATGAGTTACTTCGAAAAGATACATTGAACAATATGTGGTAATTAACCTTATAATAATAAAAATAAACATCACACAAAGAGAAAAGAAGCATCCAACTTAAGTTGTTGCATGAATCCGGGAAGCAAAGCCCTCCATTGCTGAACTACACTGCAAAGAATCAAAAGGTGTGCTTCAACAAGTGAAAGACATATAGTTCAACCGAAGATGAAAGAGGGGGGGGGAGCACTGACCATGTTGGATTTAAGTCCGCATTATTGGGGATATTCAATGAACGAAACTTTGGGCTTATTATCATGCCCCTTCGCAGCTTGCTGCAGTTCAGCGCTTATTGCTCCGTCAACTTTAGGATGGAGCGCAACTTCCTCCAGTTTTTTCATGCTGTTTGTGATTTCTATGCAAGAAGTTCCAGGAATAGCATGCAGATCTTGACAGAGGATATGAACTGACACAAGATTAGGCAGCGGGGCCGCTGCGATTGCTACTTTCAGTGTTTGCTTGCAGACGACGTATATCCGCTTAATGGCCTTGAGGTGGTCAGCTTCAGACACTATGTCTACGGACCCAAGGTTATCTTCAATAAGCTTCAGATATTTCAGCCCCCTCACGTCGGCCAGCCCGTCTCGTATAACCACCCAGCTCAGACCAGTGGAACAAAGGCACAGCTCCTTGATAACACTTAGCTGTGCAACAAACTTAGGGAATTCGCTCAGTTTGCCACACAACTTAAGCGAGGCCAGTATGCCTTTGGCATCATGTGAGTTTACAGTATTCACGAAATCCCTGGGGCATTCGACGAAGTCGATCGATAAGGACCGACCACGACGAGGATCAGCCGTCGCATCACGAATGAATTTCGTAATGGCCTTTGAAATCGCGTCCAGGTTTTCTTCACTTGCGTCCGATTTGCACCATATCTTCACCTTCCGCAGCATCCTCATATATCTCATCAGCTGTGGAAATCCTGTGCTTCCATCGATGACAAATCCTGCCAGCGTCTCTAGGACACTCTTATCTCTCAGGAAGTTCTTTAGCTTCCATCCCAGCATGGTGGTGTTTGTGCTTGTGAGCTGGAGCTTCCCAAAGAGGTGCATCAATTTGGGCAGCAGCAGGACTTCTTTGAACACCGTCACTGTTTCGCTTCCACTCAGATCGAGCGTCTCTAACTGATGCAGGTACCCAATGTCGCTTTCAATCCGATTAATGGTGCTCGAATTGATGCTCAGATATTTCATCAGCACCTGGCCCCAGATATCTCTGAGATGTTCTTCGCTGAGGTGAGCACATTCTTTCAGATCCAACACCCGCAACATTCCATACCTCGAAAAATCAAGAACAGCTTCATAACTGGCGGCATTCGCTGTACCACTGAATACCGCCAGGGTCCGGAGACGAGATAAATCCGGAGGCAAATTCAGTTCGCCATTTACAGCTGGATGCACAGATAACCTGCGGGCGGCTTGGGCCTGCAATGATTCCGCCTGCGATGGTTCCGCCAGCAATGGTTGGGCCGCGCCATCACAGAACAGTATGTAATGCTCGGACATAGACTGTTGGGAGATGTATGGGAGCATCAGGTCAGTAGGTTGGCATCTCCTCACCTTCCCATTGTTGCTTGTCTGGGTTGAACTGATGATATCTGATTTGTTGAATATTTTCAAATTTGTGACAGCATCTTTTTCTCGCTGTACTAGTCCCTCAGCCAGCCATCTCCTTATTAGGGGCTTAATCCTGACAGGATGATTAGGAGGGAACAAACACAAATATAGCAAGCAGTTGACGTTACCGGGGGGATTCAGACTCTGTTTGGGAACAACATCCTCTTGTACAGGAGGTCCCATAACACTCAGTGTGGCAGCAAGACCTATTATGTCACTTGACATCTGTTCGGATCTGACCTTGAGTTCACCAATCTCTGTGGCAAAATCTTCGGTGTTCATCTTCTTGGCGCGGAAGCAGTCTATACAGTCTTCGATGTCATATGCCAATAGCCTCAGTTGTGCAATCAATTCTATCTGCACCCAACTGAAACGTCCTCCCCTACTAGCATGATCTTTCATCAGAGCTCTTATCATCCCGAGTTTATTGCTGATGAACATGGCATCAGTTTTCAGCTTCTTCTCTTTTACCGAGCAGAGCTTTGTCAAGGCGACACCAACCACCGCGCCAAATGCAGCCACACCAAACTCCATCGATCTCTGTTTCCACAGATCTTTCCTCGCTAGCTAGCTAGATCTGCACGGCAAAGTGGGGTAAGCAAACAAACTAGGGGTAAGTCTTGCTTCAGATGAAAGGGAGAGGGGAGGGGGAGCATATACCTAAACGTGAAGTCGTGGCCCCCGGAATCTAAGAACTCCTCCAAGAGGGTGGAGGGAGCTTCAGATTTAGCTTCTCTCGGCTCCAATGAGGGTGTCACGAGTTGATACAGACAAGGTTAACATATATACTATGTGCTCCCTCAGCAACTAATATAAGAGCGTTCAGAGCGAATATTCATTTCTGGGCACAGGCAAATCTGCACCCGGTGAAGAGAAAATTCACAAAAAAAATATTAAAAAAATGTTTTTTTCATGGAAGATAATTTGATGCGTGAGGTGCGCTCCAAATTCTAGATCATTTGGACATATGAGTAGCTCTCAGCCAAAAAAAATTTGGTCAAAAGAATACATGAACAATAAGCTTTTCCATAGACCTCAAATTTATCTTTTTCCCCAAGAGCTACTTAGTTGTTCAAATGATCTGAAATTTGGAGCACACCTCATGCACCAAATTATATTCCAAGAAAAAAAATCAAAATTTTAAATTTTTATAGTATTTTTTGTATTTTCTGTTCATCTCAGGTGCAACTAAGCCTGGGCACCGAATCGCCTCGTCCCAGTTACATCAATTTTTTTGGCCTAATAATGGTTAATATTATGATTTTGGCTGAAAATGCTGCTCTAATTAAGTCGCCATCCGGCCCTCAGCCTACATAATACATGAAGCGCACTACGTATTCCGGCGAGACTGTATTTGCAGTCCAGGAGCACGATATGAATGGCCCACCATCTGCCAACCGCTCGCGTGGGAGGAAGCTTCCAATCCAGCTCTTCCTCTTGCTCCTGCCAATGCCGCAACCGCTTATTGATACCAGCCTTGTAGCATTGATGCCAGCCTTGTAGCATTGATGCCCTGCCTGAAGCATCGGCGACAAATGTTTCCAGCACACAGCGCACCCCTTGCACACCGGCGGCAACAACATCACCGGTGCGACGCCACACAGACGATTCCTTCGGCACCGGCCTCGCCTGCTTGTAGTTTCATGCTCGGCCGTCGTATGCCGCCTTTCGACAATTGCATTTCCGTTGCAGCGCAAGTGGAAACCTTGCACTGGACACGGGTAGCGAGAGGGGGGTGAACAGTGGCCGGCGCAGAAAGAACTGTAAGAGGAGACAAAATTTAGAGGTTGGGTTTCACTCCCATGGGAGGACAACGACCCAATTTTTCCTGGGTTGGACAGTGGGTTCAGAGGGTTTTTTTTTTTCAACTTTTCAGTTTTTCTTTGTTTAGGTTTTGACAATAAAAATCTTTTCTTTGGAAGTCGTGCTTTTACGTGAGAAGTGTGCTTGTGTGAGAAGCACAACTGTGATTCTTCGGAAAGGGAAAAGAACATTTGTGCTTCTCCGAGAAAAGTAAATGCACAACATGTGTTTCTCCGAAAAGGGAAAAGCGCAACTATGCTTCCTTGAAAAAAGGAGAAGCACAACGCGTGCTTCCCCAAAAAGGGAAACACATAGTTATCCTTCTCAAAAAAGTGGAAAAAAAAAATGCAACAGTGCATCTAGGTTCTGGGTTTCTTCCTCTGGGTTATGGGTTTTTCGGTTTCAATTTTTCCTGGTTATTGGTTCTTTTTGTTTTCCCTTTTTCAGTTTTTTATTTTCAGTTTTTCTAAGTTATTCATGAAAAAAAGGTTTGATATAACCTATAAACATGGCATCTAGTTTTGAAGATCTCGATGTGAGGAATCCTACGATGAAAGCGATTCGTGATTTGGACAAATGGTTTAAGAGATAAAAATGAATATAAGATAAAAATGAACTTCTAAGTTGCAACAAGTAACGCGTCTGCAATGCATCACTTGTTAATATCTAAGAAATGAGTGACCTTTGCAAGAGATAACCGAACTAGTGATTTCTTAAGCCTTGTCATCCCCACACCAGCACCCACCACCAGCCCATCGCCCTCCCTACATTTTGGCCCAACCTCGGCCACTGCCCCAAATTGAACTACGTACCCCACACTCCTCTCTCTCCATAGCGCTGCCGGCCAGATCTTTGACTCTTCTTCTTCGAGCTACCTCTAGTATGCATCTCGTCCTCCATCCATTCTACCTCTCCCACCTTCCTACGCCAAAGTCAGCGCCACTGCCACCTCGTTCGATATTTTGTTGAGCTTTCTCTACTTCTGGTACGTAGAAAGGCAGAGGGCCTTTGTTGAGACCGTGCTAGTCAGAGTTGAGATTTTTCTTCTTGGTAATGTTTCCCCATTCGCTGTCTAGAGGGCAGCAACGACTTCTGCTCGTCAGAATTGAGATTTTCCATCTTGGAGTTGAGATTCACTTGAGCTTTTTCTCTCTAACATAGGTACAATTAGAAAACTTAATCATCTTGTTCTTATCAGGTGGAGATGGATATTCTGGAGTATTAGTTCTCGGCGAAGATGGTAAAGATTCAAGATGCATCCGCGTCCTCTGGGCCGGGGACAGATGATACTGATGCTGCTCTTATTGAGGCAGCGATGCGAGTTCCTGTTACTGTTATGCTTGGCCCCATGGGCACCCTCCTCCGGAAATTCCATTCGCTCATGGCTCCCGGACAGAGTCTGGCGTCAGATCTGCTCAGGGCGGAAGAAGTCTGTCTTCTCAGTGATGGCCTCAAGGATTTATGCATCTCCCTGAAGAATATGTCTGAAGACGACGACCCTAGCTTCATGGCCCAGTGGTGGATGAAGATAGTTCGTGAACTTTGCTATGACACGGAAGATCACCTGGACGAGGTCTGTTGCGCCCGGACCCATCATGATTTTTCAGAATTTCTTGCTCGTGCGGAAGATGCGTGTGAAAGCCGCAAATGTTTCGACTGGTCTCCTCCCAAGACTATCAAACCAGCTGAACAGGGGGGAGCCGGTGTCAGCCGCCGCACCTCCCCCGAGCTGCAGGTTCTCCTCCCTGTCCATGTGGAGCCGCCAAACAATCTTGTCGAGCTGCTGGATTTACACGACGACGGGAAGACACTCAAGGTGATACCTATAACTGGATGTGCAGGTATACACTCTATCTTCAACTCCAATTTCATTTCCGACTCCATTAGCAAATAGTATATCTATAGTTTTTCTCTTCTTTTAATTTGCAGGTGTTGGGAAGACAACAGCTGCCAGAGCTTTGTATCACAGGTATGGAGGGAAATTTCAGTGCCGGGCTTTCGTAACTGTGTCACGAAATCCAGATATGAGGGGATTTCTCACCAGCATACTCTCACAACTTAAAGCACCACGGTCCCATGGTTTTCCTGATGTGCCGGACCTTATTGATGCTATCCGCAAACATCTGCAACACAAAAGGTAACCCCTACCATTTTACTAAACGGATTTGTTAATTCTCATCTAGATAAGAACTAAGTATGTCACATCTAAGTCCTCCACCACATGATAAAAGTAGTTATGTCACATATAAGTGTTGTTTTTCTCATGTTGTGTGTGTTTGTTTTTCCCGTCGGGCGGTGTCCGCCTGGGCCCTGTGTTGTTTACGTGGAATCCGGTTTTCTTTTCAAGTTTGTGCACAGATTCAAGTTTATTCCAAGGGCAAGCTCGAGTGTGGGCCATTTTTGCGTGTTCAAATCGTGTGTTGAGCCGTATTTACGACGGGCTCCCACTCGTCTCCAGCGGACCAGCCCAAAAACACCTTTGCCTTGAAGAATTAAAAAAGAGAATTACAATGTCGTAGGCCCAAAAAACTGCTCCCTCTCCCAAAAGTAAATTTGCTATGGCCCATAGTGTAAATTTGACATGGAAAATGAAAAGTAGATTTGCCATTAGTAATAATAAAGAATTTGCAATGTAGGTGAAACTAATTTTTCCATGGCAATTAAGTAAAATTTGCAATGTCATAGAGAAAAAGAAAACCCTTACAAATTGCCATGTGATTAGTCCATTCATTTTAATAAAAAATGTCATATTATCTAGATGAAATTTCATGAAATTGCCATGGCAATAAAAAAAGGTAAATGTCTGTTCCCTAAATGATGGAAAATGTCAATCTAGGGGTGATATATTAGGAAATTCAAACCATGGCAAAACACATCATAGGTTTCTGATATTGCCAACTTAAAGTAACCATGTACATATATAAGTTTATATCGATGGCAGAAACATCTTATAGTAGCCATGGAAACAAGCTTTAGTTGCCATGGCAGCACATCGAAAAGATTCCGTCGCAAAAAAATTATTATAAAAAACCAAACAATTGCTGTCACTGAGACCCTATAGTTGCCATGGTTAACGCTAAAACATTCAGCAAAACCAACACTTTACTGATCCCACATGTCTAAAAAAATGGTTCTTGCTTAATAATTTTTTTTTCAAACTTAAAGTAACATGGAAAAACTTGAATAAAAATGAGGGGTACACAGAGCACACTCTTACAAAAATGGTTTCTTCTGTAAAACATTATCAAAATTTGCTGAAAACACATGGTAAATTTCCTGAAAACTGAAAAACTGATGACACACATGGGAAAATTGTAACAGAAATTTTCTCGTTAACATGGAAAATTATTTGATAACACACTGATGAAACTAGAAACAACAATGCTGTAATTTGTGAAGCAAGCTAAAAAATGTATTGTAGCACTAAATTCGTGATGAGTCACACAATGTTTAACGCATCTATCGCTGATGAACCCAAAATGAATTTGCTCCATGTTTCTCGCTGCCGCACCCCGCACCATTTTCTGCTGAGCACCGCCACACCCTCGCTGCACCTCGTGTGTCGAATCGCTCCACAGCTCTCAGGAGCAACTGTCTCTCCTTGGACCACCACACCTACACCATGTGTCGATCTCCGTCGTGTTCCCGACATCAGATGCAGCAGCAAACCACCGGAAGCCGCTGCCGTCACTGCCCCCGTCACTGCGTAGCGAGCCCCGAGAAGCATGCGAGCATCTCCTCCTCGCGTCGTGAGCCCCTGCATCCCATCCATGACGCTCCACCCCCTTCGGGACGCCAGAGAACTGCTCGAGATCTCTGCATGGACTCTGG